AAAATCTAACCAGCTGCCTCTATTTAGAGAACTGGCGCTAGTTCCACTGTGAGGAGACTGAAGAGAAGATGGTTTCAAACATAACAACTCAAGCAAGCCAAACGCGGGGTAAGACAAATGAGACTTGATATTGAGCAAACGAAGATAATGGGAGACAAAGTCAAAAAGTGTCATGCGCAGGAAGATCAACAACCTCTAGATCAGAGGATGAAATCGCCTGCAGGAGTGGTAGTGAGTGTTGCCTACGGGAGAAGGAGACGACGTCTCTTGCATAATCGAAGATGTGTGCATAGGAATTGACTTTATGTGTTGGGAGAGAGAGCAGTGATGGGCTTTGATATCAGGAGGAGGGAAGAAAACAAAAATGATATTTAAGGTTAGGGTTTAATTTTAATTTCATTAATAATTAAATTTAGTTTAATATTTATTAAGTACTGATAATAAATATCAGAGATTTAGAGTGAAAGAGTATACGAATCCAAAGTTTAAAAAAGGATTGCTTACTTCACCAGAAACAGACTTGAGCTAAGTTTCTATTAATGTTTCGTTAATTTGTATAACTAGTAAGACCTTTAGAAAGTTTAAAAATTTGAAGAAATACATAAAGTTGTTTGGGATCATATTTTTTTTTGTTTTTTATTCATTTTGTTTTTGTTTTTTATTCATTTTGTTTTTGTTTTAACATAAAATTAAAAACAAGTGTGGTAACACATTATTTTTTTTTTTGGTTAAAAAAATACAAAAGAAAGAAAAAATATAACTATCCCCTCTATCTTCTCCTCCTCTTTCTCCATCTATTCTATAATAAAGAATGAAACTATTAATTTCTGTTAAATGGAAGAAGCTTTGCCGAGGAAAGCAATGGCAGTGGGGGAGAGGGAGCTAATGGTGTAGAAGAAGTTGAGAAAGCTGACTAAGTGCGGTGGTGGTGGAAAATGAGTTCGGAGAGGACAATGGCAGTGGTGTCAATGTTGGTGTTGGCAGAGCCAGAGGCGAAGCGGAGGATGGCGAAAGCTGCGATGTTGGGGGAGATGGCGTCGGAGGGCTTTGGCATTGGTATCGTCGAAAAAGAAGGCATCGACGCCGCTGACTCATAAACTAAGGCTCTACCTCTCAGATTATAGGAATTGAGAGAGATTGACTACTTCTCGAATTGTATGTGCTTATCTTTTTATTTGTGTTGAATGTTTGATATTCTCACAACAACAACAACAAACAAGCCTTTATCTCATTAAGTGGGGTCGGCTGCATGAATCCTATTTCTCCATTGTGCCCTATTGAGTGTAATATTTTCATTTAATTTTAATAAATCAAGATCACTTTTTATACAACATGCCCTAGTCTTTTTACCTTTTTTTAAGATAAGTTGAATCAAGCACTTCAACTCTCCTAACCAGATCATCAGATGGTCGACGTTTAGTGCGACCAAACCATCTAAGACGACTCTCTTTAATCTTGTTTGCCATTGGAGCTACATTAACCTTTTCACGCATACATTCATTTCACATTTTGTCTCTAAGAGTCAAGCTATTAATCCACCTAAGCATTCTCATCTTAGTAACATTTAACTTAGTTTTATGCTTCTATTTTATAGGCCAATATTCTGCACCATAAAGCATTGTAGGTCTCACCACTATCTTATAAAATTTTCCTTTAATTCTATGCGGTACTTTTTTATCACATAATATATGCCAGATGCATTTCTCCACTTCAACCATCTAACTTTAATTCTACTAATAACAATCCCATCTATAGCAACATGACTATGAACGATGAACCTGAGATATCCACTTCTTTTAATGATTTGATCCCTCATTGTTACAACTCAGCCATTATATCTACTACTTCTAAAATTACATTCCATGTATTTAGTTTTAGATCTACTCAAACTAAGACCTTTATACTCTAATGTAGACCTCCATAATTCAAGTTTATACTGAACTCTTACTTATCCACAAGAAGATATCATCAGTGAAAAGCATAGACCAAGGTACATCCTTCTGTAAATGTCCAATAAGTTCATCCATAATTAAAGCAAAAAAATACGGGCTTAAATCCGATCCCTGATGTAATCCAATTGAAATAGAAAATTGACATGGTCAATCCTCCTACTGTTCGAATATGTTACTATTTTTCGATAAAACTTTTATGCCTGCTGTCAACCACGTAACAACCCTCTACTTTTTGCGTCTGGGTTTGGGACCGCAATGACAACGTTCTTGCAATAAAATCTTTTTTGTTCTAAATTGACAGTCATCCGGGGCTTGTGGAAATCTATGTAGGTTTCTAGCAAATTGGTATCAGGCGCTCTATTTATAGGAAATCAATGATTAAATTGTTGCATATAGAAATTTGATGGCCTTCGACATCGAACCTTACAACACAATTGCAATTAGAGTTAACAGAGAAGCAACAACGGAATCGCGATGTACCATAGCCTTCAACACCGACCGCAATACATTCATAATTAGAGCTAACCTGGAAGAAACAATAGAGGATCGTGGCATACAACTCACGTGTGGCGCTCCTTCGTGACCGAACCTCGCGATATAGTAGCAAATCGCTCTAGCTGGGGATGATCGACATGATCGCGGTCATGTGGGAGGAGAAAGGATTACGACATGTAGTGACCCAAACGATCGTAATACAATTGCTATTGAGCTAACTGGGAAGTGACGATGGGATTGCGAGCAAGGATTCTTTGATACAGTCACGATCAAGCTATTTAAGATCGCAGGTAAGTCAAATAGCAATGTCGGGCCGCGTGCGAGGAAGCAAAATTAGGATTGTAAGAAGGGATCATAGTGTACAAGAGCGAACAATCACTTGATTTGACCTATCTGGAAGCAAATGACGGGATCAGGGCATTATAATCATCTACTACCATGATACAATTGTGATATCTGCAATCGTGATTCAAACGTCTGGGAGGCCAACAACGAGATTTCATATTACATTATTTCCATCTTTTGTGATTGAAAATTTTCTGGGAAATAATGGTGGCCAAGAGAGTGGAAGATTTGGAGGATAAAATACAAAAAGAGATAAGACACATCAGTTTTGAAATAGATGAGCATTTCTCGTCTATGAAGGGGCGGTAGCAGAGATTCACAACCTTGGAAGAAATGATGACGTAAATCATTGAGCCACTAAGCCGCCTGTGCCCATCGTAAGATTGAGTGACGATGTCGTGAATGGACACACAACAACAACTAGAAGGATTCACACGACATTAGGTAGCCTCACAGATCAGAGATGCAATATCCAATGAAGGAATCAAGAATAGATTTGAGAAGCACATCTGAAGGAAATTGCACGACATTCCAAGGTTTGAGACGAGCGACAATAGGTAGATCATAATGGTGTGCGATTTGGGGCCAGAGAAGATCGCTTCGAAGGATTTTGACATGGGACTAGGAACCACGGTCCCCGACAGAGGATTGTATCCAATTGCTCCATTGCCTTTTGTATCAGAGGCCTTCTGGGCGGAAGGTGATTTAAAAGTAGTGATGGGAACGAGACAAGTGGAGAAGAACCGGGGGAGGGGGGTTGTAAGTGATTGATTGGGACACTGCAAAATGATAAGGTGGGAAACAAGATGGTGGTGTTTTGTGGTGATCCCAATTTGTGCAAGATGCTAGTGACGCTGAAGGCTATGATGAGGGTAGCTTAGGATGTAGGGCTGAGATTTATGATCGTGTCGCATATAATGAAAGAAACTCGATACAAAATTGAAATAGATTCTTGGGATCAATCAGCTATTGAATTTGGTGTGGATGTATTCTATTGGATTGACTTGAAGCCATTAGATTCATATGTGATTGGAGGACGTGCATAAGACGGTATTTCGAGATGGTGAGGGTTACTATGAGTTTCTGATTAAATGAAAATGATTGCTAGATGATGATGCTATTGGCCTTGATCCCACAACAATTTTTTCCACCTTGAGGACATCGTGTTTTTTTGTAGGGAAGTATTGTTTGCCAATGCCTAGCCTGAAGACAAGTTAGTTTTTTTATTTATTATTGTTTAGTATAAATAGATCCTCATAAGCTTAGGTTTAGGGTTATGCATGAGATTGGGCCTTGAGTCATAGGGTTAGGATTTGAAAGAGATTTTCTATCTTTCAAATTGTAGGAATTGAGAGAGATCGCCTACCTCTTGAATTATAGGTGTTTCTTTTTGTATTTATATTGAGTGTTTGTTGTTCTTGCAATAAAATATTATTTGTTCCAAATTTTGTGTGGAAATATGTGCCGGTTCCTAACACATTCACCTTTTATCATGCAATTTGCATTCCCAGTTCACGACCACTTATTCCAATATTTCTGTTAAGGCATACTCATTTATCTTTTCTAAGCCCTGAGTACTCCCTTAGTGTGTGCTTGTGTTTTTGTTAGTAGCAGTGGTAAGCATCTCGAGTTATTTGGTCTTCTGAAAAGGGTATGCAGTAAAAGGAATACAATGTATTTGAAATATTTTGAAATTCTTTGTGTTGGTGCAAAGTAAATGTAGAAATTTACATTTTTGTGTTTGATCTGAAGAGAAATGAAATCAATGTAAAACATGATCATGATAGTGGAGGTAACCATTGGTGTCTGCGATGCCTGTTGCGGGTGGCAATGTCAGCAACAAATTGAAAATAGGCTGTAATTTGCAGTGTATTTAAAAATTGCCCAAATATAATGAATTTGGACTACACCAATTTTGAACTGCAGGGTGAATTCCAAATTCTTGAAAATTTAATACTGCATTTTATTTCCATCCAACAAAAAGTCAAAGTTTTGCAAACCCATGCGTGTGGTTTACTTTACCACGAATGAAGGGAAGCAAACAACCCCTTAATTTCTTCACCAATTTCTACTTAGCAACTGTTTATTTGTTTATTGTATTGTCATTCAAATCCCTGCACACAAATATGCTTGTTTTTATTCGAGGGGACTTTTTTTTTTCAGTTCATGAGTGGTCAGTCTTTTATTAACTCATCAATAATTTTACAGGTGAAGGAGTTTGTATCCTCTCGGGTTGGATTGCAGAGGGTTTGTCTTCTAGTTGATACAAAATGGGGCATGAAAGCGAGGGACTTTGAACTCATAGATTTGATGGAACGGTAACTAATCACTTCACTCTTCTCTTTTCATTTTGTAACCTTATGTTGTATTTTTGTATCTCGCTCAATAACTGAACAGCGGTTAAAAATGCCTTGCTTCTAAATTATGCTCCGAAGTTCCTTAAATTTGAAATTGGATGCATCACATTAATGTTATTTTTAAGCAATTAAAGGTTTTATGGGCAAATTTTTTCACTGATTTGCTTTTCATATTACAGCCACATTTCTATTTAGTTATAATTTTTTTCCTGTTTTAAAAATTTATATGATGAGAAGTGCAGCTTTTTGTGAACCGATTTGCTGAGAGTTTAGTTGCTGTAAAAAGGTTGCTATTTATCTCCTTATTTTTTAAAAATGAAAATACTCACAACTTAAAAAAAAGGAAGATTTACGTACATACCACTCAATTTCTATATATTTACATATATATTTACACATATAACGCGTAAACATCAATTTTTATGTATATGCCACCTTTTCTGTGCATGAAAATATGTATTTCACTTTTTAAAGGTCAAAATAATGCTATTTTTTATTTGATATGAAGGATTTGGATGGTATAAATGTACAAAATAAAGTTGGTGCTAGATATGTAATTACATAGGAATTAGGTGGTATGTATGTTAATGCCCCAGGGAAAAAAAAAGCTTTTTGCACAACAATTCTATAACTAGTTTTGCAAATAATTGATCAACCCTAAGCATCTTGAGCTTTGCAAACTGTGAAAGTCGTTGGAATTAAAGTTTAGTGTGATTTATCAAGATATAAGATGTGCATCGCTCCCTGTGAGCCAGAATGATGCCTTCTTCATTCGAAGCTTAATGGATCTAATGTTAACTTATTCTTCATGTGCATTCAAAATTATGCATATGAAGCATTGAATTTTTTTTATCTATTACTATTTGCCAAATCACTGAGGGAATAATCTCTTCTTGACACCCTAAAATTTCATTTTATTTCTTGCACTTTATGTAAGTGGGCCCCACCAGCAAGGATAAATTATTGGGGCATTTACATACATAACACTCAATTCTTATGTATTTACATATTTAACATCGAAGCTTTTCTTTTTTTACTTTTGTACCTGATATCAAAGTTAACCCAAACAATAATAAGAAAAAAGCAAATATTATTACTGAAGTCAGTTTAAAAGGGCGTTTTTGGGGCGGGGGCGTAACGCCTTTCGACCCAAGCTCACGAGCGAGGCTCTAATCTTGCGGGGCTTACGCCTGAATTGTCGTGGGTCACCCCCCCGCGTACCGGTTAAAGATAAAATTTGATGGTGCTCTCTTGTCCAACAACCTTGTGGGTATTAGGCTTGTGGTGCGGGATGAGGTTGGTAAGGTTATTTCTATCGGTGGACAACAACTCATCCACCGGGACAACTCACAGGTAGAGCTATTTCTTATCCTGTTCATGTGTCATCACATACAAGCATGAAAGAAAAGGGGGTAATTATCGAAGGTGATAACTAAAATGTGATAGATGCACCGCAAGAAAAGTAAAGGGCTAAGGTATGGCAACAACAAGTGGATCATGAGTATGACTTGGAATTTTTTTCAAACTTTAAGCAAGTTTTTTACTTTGTTTCTAATAGAGAGTGTAACAAAGCGGCCCATTTTTTGTGCACGGCTCGTTTTGGATAGATATCTTTTTTGGGATGCTCACACTTGTGACTTTGTTTTTTTGAGCGTGGTTGAGGAAGATGCCAACCATGTTGTTTCTTTTAGTTGGCTTTTATAGCTACACTGGGATGCTCACACACCTTTCAAGGGAAGTTCCGGAGCACAATACACTCCTCAAGAGGCATACGCCTTGCCTCATAATCGAATAAAAAGGGTAAAAAATACCTAATTCTACTTATCCGATTCGAGCTTCTCCCGTATGCAGTCATCTCTCGTAGGCCCTCTGCTTCATCCATTGCACGTAAAGTGCCAGAAGATATTGCCGCCGACTGTTTTTCTTGTCGCACCTTCGCACACAGTAGGCTTGTCTACTTTGTTTTGCACGTAGGCTTGTCTCCGTCGTCTTCATCCCGCACACAGGCGATCCCCTATCAGCTTCCTCTCTAGAGCGTTCGTCGCTTCGTCTCTTCCGCACGCGGCGTCTCGCATCATCTTCTCTCCCACACTCACATCGTCTCCTCTCCCACACCCGCATTGGTTTTCCCGTAGCAGGGCAGCGAGGTAAATAAATTTGATTTTTTTTTGTGATTTTTTAAGCTTTTATGAATCTTTAATTGATCATTTTATTATAGCTACTACGAGGTTACTGTAGCTATAGTAATTTCACTGTAGCTGCTATGATAACTGCAATTTTTTTGTCTTTCATGTTAAAGTTTTTTTTTTTCATGTTTATAGTAAGCTACAATTTTTTTTCATGTTTACAGTAAACCACAACTTTTTTTTTTTTCATGTTTGCAATTTGCTAGTGGTGGATTTGATCTGCTTTTTTTTAAGTGTGTTAGGTTAATTATTAACTTGTAATGGAAGAGGAAGACTGTGTGACCAGTAGTAGTCGCACTAGCAAGAAAGAATTTGCATGACAATATAGAAGTGTACCGAATGAAAAATATTTCAGATGTAAGTTTTGCAATCAAGTGTGTAGTGGAACAATAAATAGGATGAAACAATATCTTGATGACACACACAAGGGCATTAAACCATGCACTAAAGCCCCTACTGAAGTTCAAGAGAAATGCAGGAAAGCATTAGAAGAAGATGCAAAAGTTAGAGCACAACCTGACATTGTATTAAATGACATTAGAAGCAGTGCAACAAATATTGGTGAATGTCAAAATACTACCAAGTCATTGTTAGTTGACTCCTCCCAAAGTCCACCTAGAGTTAGAAGTCCAATGAATTCTTTCACCATAACACAAGCAATGAATTCTATTCTAATTTTGAAGTGGGAAAAAGATTAAAGAAAAGAAGCATGTAGGGCAATGAGTAGATTTTGCTACTCAGTTGAATTGGCGTTTAATATTGCCAATGACCCATATCACATGCCCATGTTTGAAGCATTTGCTAATTTTGGACTTGGTTTTACTCCATCTGCCATGCATGAATTGAGAACTTATACTCAAAGATGAGATTGCTACAATCAATAAGATATTAGAGGAGCGTAAGAAGAAATGAAGTAAATATGGGTGCTCGATTATGTCAGAAATTTGGACAGATGGAAAAAGTAAAACTTTGATTAATTTTTTTGTGAAAAGTTCAGTTGAGACTTTTTTTTCTTAAATCTGTGGATGCTTCTAATACTATAAAATTGATGAATTACTGTTCGCTTATTTGGATGATGTGATTGAGGAAGTGAGAAAAAAATATTGTGCAAATTGTAACAAATAATTGATCAAACTATGTCAATGCGGGTAAAAAGATAATGGAGAAAAGACAACATATTTATTGGACACCATGTGCAGCACATTATATTGACATAATGTTAGAAGACATTAGAAACTTGAAGATTCATGAGAGCACACTTGCGAAAGCAAAACAAGTTGTTAAATTTATTTATGGGCACACATGGATTCTTGGTTTGATGAGATCTTTTACGAAGGAGAGAACTTATTTGTCTGCCTTCACATGGTTTGCTACGTCATATTTGACCCTTCAAAGTATTTACAAGCAGAAGCAACCACTTTAGGCAATGTTCTTCTCAGAAGCTTGGTGTTCTAGTCAATGGGCAATGAAGTCAGAAGGTATAAAAGCTCGAGCCGTTATTTTGTTTGATCTATATTTTTTGGGTTATCTTGCTTATTGTATCAAAAATGTTGTATCGTTTGTAAATGTTCTGAGATAGGTTGACTCAGAAGAAAGACCAAATATGGGTTATATTTATAAGTTAATGAATTCAACAAAAAAAAAATACTTTTAATTGTGGGCATAATGAAAAGAAATATGAATCTATTTGGAGGAAAGTTGATGCAAGATGAGAAGTCCAACTTCATAAACCACTACATGCAGCTGGTTATTATTTAGACCCTCAATTTCATTTTGAGGATAATTTCTCTAATGATACAAAGTAAAAGAAGGGTTAAATGCTTGTATGAAAAAAATGTTGGATTATGAATATCGTCTTAGAGCTGATATTCAACTAAACTTGTATGATAATTTACGAGGAGTCTTTGGGAGTAGAGTTGCTATGGACTCAAGCAAGTTGAGATCTCCCGCTAATTGGTGGATGAGATTTAATGGGAAAACACCTGAGTTAGTGAATTTTGCTATTTGAGTTCTTAGCCTCACATGCAGTTCATCAGGTTGTGAAATTGGAGCACTTTTGAATCGGTAATATTTTTTTTATTTCTTAAAAGTTAAAACTATTATTATTTACTTTTATAATCACCTCTCAAAAATAATTATTTTTATCTTAGATTCATACTAAGAAGAGGAATAGGTTGGAGAAAAAGTGGTTGAATGCTTTGTATATGTAAGATATAATACTAGATTGAGGGCGAGAAGTATAAGAAGCAAACAAGTCTTCGATCCAATATTGATAAATGAAATAGACTCTGAAGATGGTGTATTGTTGGAAAGAAGAACCTATGCTTCCACAAGAACTTTCGGATGAATGAAGACAAACTTCTATTTGATGTTGATGTAATTAGAAATTTGCCAACGACAAATGCAAATGAAGAATCACAAAATATTACACAAGGAAGAAAGGCCATTTTTATAGTATATTCACATAGGACAAAGATGATGAATGAAAGAATAAGTAAGCTTCATATTTACATTTAATTGTGCTTTATATAAATTTGCATTCTTATTTTCTTGTAGAAAAAAGATTTTAAATATTTAAGAATATCATGTTTGTATTTGTAATTTAGGCAACAATGATAATGAGAAACAAATTATGAATGCACCTGAGATTGAACATGATGATGATGATTGTCGAGAATATGAAGGACCTAATTGTGATTTGGACCAACTATTGGTGAAGAAGAAAAAGATTTTGATTATGAATTTAAAGAATGAATAAACTTCATGGATTGAGATTAAATGATCATAAATTTATTTTTTTGGCTTAAACATGTTTGTTTTCTTTTATATTTTTCTACTATTTGTGGTGGACTTTTTCTAATATCTTGAAGATTCTAGTCTTGGAAGATTTGTTTTGTTTATGTTTAATTTATCTATTATGTACAAATAGTTTTTTTTTAAATATTTTTATTCCTTATTTTTTATTCATACTGTGGGGTTTATGCTCGACGCCTTGGGGTTTACGTCTCGTACCATAACAGATAAAACACCCCACCCAATGCGCACACCTTTTAAAACATTATTACTGTCAGTAAATAGTAGATTATAATCAAACACGGTTAAATGAGAAATAATAATAGATATGACATGCAACTCAAGTCGGGGTCCTTTCCCGGGATGGTGGTGGTCAGCTAGGTTGATTGGAAAGGGTGGTAGGTGGTTGAGATGGTTGAAAGGTGGCGGTTGCAGCAGATAGGGGCTTCTAGAGGGCTGTTTTGGGGTAAACACTGAGTGTAGGGTGGCAAGGAGAGCTCGAATAACATTAGGTTAGTTGTTCTCTGTGACGACAATGAGGGAAAGGGGATTGTGGCAAGGGCCAGTAAGGTGGGGGTCTGGAACAACGATGACAATGAGTGTGGAGGGCCGAAACGACGTCATTGAAAGGGGAAGACTGGAATGACGATTGCAACGATGAAGGACAACTGGAATGATGATTGGGGATGTAGTGGACTACCGGACAACAAAAGTGCTGGGTGGCAACAACGAGAAAACTGCAAGGAAACATTAAACGTAGTTTGTTCTAGGCGACAGCTTCAGCAGGGAAGGGGTGGTCGGGAGCGACGTGGGGATGATGCGGAAGGGAATAGGTAAGATAATTATCACATATGGAGCGAGATATAGCCGGAGCATCGCTCGAAAACTTGGATATAGCCCTCGAAGGGAAAAATGAGATGACGACTATCTCGATACAAAACACAAAAAAAGACATAACAAAAAGCACCAAGAACACACACACCTACACCCATATATATATATATATATATTTATACACACACACACACACACACACACACACACACACACAGAGCTCACACACACACA